TTCTGTTGAAAACAAAAGAAGATATTTTGTAAAATGTGTCAGTGCTTTAATTGTGTCAATACAAAACATACATTTTGTACCTGACAAAAGTCCATATTTGGAAGATTTTTTTTCCCATCCAATTATAACCCCATCAGAATGCTACAGCATTGCATTATACAATCATTTAAAAACAATTAAAAAGAATAAAAAGAAAGAAAACATTTAAAATAAAAATCAAATTTGAAATAAACTGGGAGTTAACAATAATAAGTTTGGTTAACCATAACTTGAACTCTCTTTAAAGACCCAGGACTTCAGGGAATGTAGGGTAGCTCCATGCATCTTCTCGGGGTCTCAAGAGGGACAAGCCCAAAGTTGCCTTCTTTGCACATTGTCAGGAACCGGATCTACACACTTCCTTCTCTCTTTCTACACACACATATCAGGACCCCGTGATGTCTCTCGCAGAGACATAACCGGCGTCGAGGGAGCAGGAGACCTGTGAAAGGCCATTACCACAGTGTGGCCCAGGCCATCAGCACACTAAGACCCAGGAGAGTGACCCTGCTCTCACACTGAGAAATAAATTGGGTGGACTCACTGACAAAAAGCCATCAGGGCCCAACTGCACACATTAGCACTTCACAGATGACGCCAAGCACACCCGTGCCACCAGTCGAACTTTGTTCCCATGGCACATCGGGGACACCAAAACATACAGTACCGCTCAAGAGACACAGTAGTTTGGCGCATGAAATGACCAGGAAAGTTGGTCTATACTGCATTCAACTCTTCAAAACCTGCAGCTGAAGATGAGCAAAATGCCTTTGCTTAGATCAAGAGCCTAGTCACCATCTTCAAAACATGAGTTAAAATGAGCTGAATCGAAACAATTCTTTAACATTTTGTACCAACTTAATTTCATTTTGTTCAAACCACTTGATTTCGTCAAATTTAAGTTAACTTAAAAAAAAGAGAAAGACTTGTTAATATTTAATATTCAGTTATGCTGGAGAATTTCTATTATGTTTTGTGATTACCATTGTTCAGAATAGTGACGCTTGTGCTTAGGCTGTTGGAGGCGACATTAAAGGTGATTACACAGGGCAACTTTTTGAGCAATGTTGCTGGGCAATCTTGCCGAGCGATTGTTGCTTGGGCACTTTCCCATTGAAAATGGGCAATAAATTTCTATCTGGATAATTTAGGTCAGTCATGGGCCCTGTGTCTCATCTAGTTGCCCTTTGACGGCAACATTGCCCAGCAACATTGCTCAAAAAGTTGCCCTGTGTATCATCACCTTAAGCCCACAATCTCTGTTGCTTCACTCAACTACCGACTAACGCTAAAGGCTGCGGTCTTTTGTGTCCTTGCTAGTGCAAATTGTATTCTGCAATTCATTTGCTTTGAATTAGCCATTATGCCTCCATTTTGCCAAGTGAGCCAGGACTGTCACTGGTGCACCTTCAAAAAAAAAAAAGAAAAAAAAAGAAGGTTCATGACACCCCTGACTATATAACTTAGCCACTCCTTTTTTTATGTCAGTTCATACAGTTACCAGGAAGCATTAAACAGATGTGAGCAGGACAGAGGTCATTTCAAACAGACTTATCAAGATCAGCAGTTTAACTAATATGTCTAGAATAGATCGATTAATCTAAAATGAGCTTAACTTTGAACTAAAGCTTTATGGGGAACATCAAAATTCCCAATTGGACTATAAGACACTTTCCCGCTCCGGTTCCAAATTGCACCGACGGGATGATCCATAAATTGACATAATGGAGAAATACAAATAGTCTGGCATATCCGTGCATATTCCTTGGCTTAGGTTATACCGGGGCCTCCTCTGAGGGTCCAACCTCAGTGAAAACCCAATTACAGCAGCTCCACATTGCAGCCGCATAACATGGGAGAGCGGAAAGAGTTAAAAGAGCCATTACAAATGCCATGGAGCACTTTTAGCGTCTCGCAAGGTTAATGATAACGGTACTTGGCAGCTGAAATGCTCAAGTAGCTTTTATTGTATCATAATAATGAATCAATGGCATAAAGATAAAATAAAATAAATGAACTCCGAAGTCAATGAGTAAAATGTATGTGCCCCAGCGCAAATAATAAAGAAAAAAGTGGGGGGAAAAATTCTCCGCCAACGGGGCCCTCTTTAAGTAATATCTTATGATGTCATCTTCTTGAAAAATATTTGCCTGCAGGTCACTGCTCTCTGTTTTAAAGCCTTAAACGCTTTTGCTACAGAACATTAAATGTCTCCCCACATTATATGATACATATTAGCGGCAGATGATTTTACTCACACAATGCCATCTCACTATGTAGTGCTATATCTTTTTTCAAGCCTGTATACAGGAAACGGCCCCGAATAGCCTTATTATTTAATCTCCTTTGGCAATATTATTATTTATTTGGATGTAAGAAAAAAAAAGGTTTGCTATTTGGGTACCATAAGTGCTTTCCTCTTGCTGGTGTTTGTATCTCTTGCTCCTCATGTGTGCTATAGGAGAGACAGAGTGGATGCGGGCTTACCGTGAGGCTGTGCTGATGTTAGGAACGTTGTCTTACATCAATGTGTCTGCTCTAAAGCCTCAGGGCATAGCGGCTGATTACCCTCTGAGTGGACATGCCTCAAACGCTGCATCAAGTTGTCAAGAACTTTCTGCTCATCCACCATTTTTCTTCCCCTTTCCGACGCAATAATATTGTAACCACGACAGAATGAAGAGTGGCCACGTGAAGATGTCAGCGCAGGAAAAAAAAATGACAGACTGCTCTTGAGAAGAAAAAAAGTCAAGTAGCCAAGCAGACTCTATTGCCTGGATACCAGCATTCTACTCATCAGTTGTTATATTCACAATTTTCTTAATCCAAGTGTTTTGCTTATTAAAAGTACTTATTATAATAAAAAATCTGTAAAATGTACAATGTTTTTGACAAGAGTGTGACCAAGAGTTTCTGATTTGTAACCGTTTGAAAACTCTCACTTGACCAATTTGATATTTAAAAAAGAGCCAAAATGGAAGTTAAAGGTTAATGGTATATAATGTTATATTGATATAGTGTATTATAAATACACTACTAAGTATGGGGTCGGTAATTTTTTTTTTTAATGAAGCCTGCATTTATTTGATGAAAAATTAATAATATTTCAATCTTATTGCAATATATTCTAAAATGTATGTTATTCCTGTGATGGCAAAGCTGAATTACTCAAGTCTTCAGTGTCACATGATCTTACAGAAATCATTCTAATCATTAAACATTTCTCATTATTATCAGTGTTGAATTTCGAGAGCATATAGGCGTATTAATGTACTGATGAACTAACACAGTCTCATCCCAAGACGTCATATGACTGACGCTTTTGACCATACGTCAACATCCGACGTTTTAGGGTACCCTTTAACGTCAGTTAGATGACGATCCTAGGGCGTCATCTAACTGACGCTTTACCTTTAGCGTCAGTTAGATGACGCGGGTAGGTTTAGGTCTGGGGTAGGGTTAGGATTAGATAGCGTCATCTAAATGACGTTAAAGGGTACCCTAAAACGTCGAATGTTGACGTATGGTCAAAAGCGTCAGTCATATGACGTCTTGGATGAACAACAGTTCCTCAAGTTCCGAAATGGCCTGAACATTTACCCCACATCATGGAGTCTACAGAAAAAAGTCAAAACCACAATGCGTTAAAACTGAAAACATGTTCTCACACAGTAAACACAGCCCGAGTCAAAACTGGAAGCATGTTTAATATTGCTCTACTATTATCCTGAAAGGCATAATTGGAGTTACACATCTGAACTGATCGTAGTTACAGAATCATAGGTCTCTCTTTTTGCATTGAACAATATATATACAATGTAAAATAAATACATTTACACAAATGGACATATTGTTTGGAGCACACTGTAATGATGCACATCACAAAAATATACAGTTAATAGTTTTACCGATGTGGAGCACATCTAAAAACTACAGACATGATTCTCACTACAGGTTGTTTCAGGTTGAAATATATCATTATCATATTGATCATAGAAGCTTCTCAAATGCTCTTTTATTCTTTCCCCTTCCTTTTTTTCTGGATCGTGTCCTTTCCCTCACTGGTTTCTGTGTTAGACTGCCAGGAAGCCTAGATGCGTTTGGCAGACGCGTCGATGCATGAATAAATACAACCAACACCTAGAATATCTTCAACATTGAAAAATAGCAGTTGTTTGTACATTTGCTCATCATTAATCCTTAATTTGCAAAATAGTCCAATAGATACAGCATTTGATCACTAATTGAATAGCATTGTACAACAACTGTACGTCGTACCGTTATATTGCTTTAAATAAGAAAATATCTCTAAAAAAAAGTCATTGTGGGTACGGATTAATTACACTTTGATTTCAATGCTGGATAGATGAGTGTTAAAAGACAGTAAAATTGTCTTTAAATGGTTCGAGAGGTCCGTGTACCATTTTGTCCAAAATTACACAGGACGTGTAATAAAAGTATTTTGTTTTTCATTTTGTGCACTAAAAGCAACTTGGAAAAAATGCATATCTGAAAGACTGAGTGCAGATCAGGACCACTTGCTCTCGTTTTGAATGAATTCTTACAAAACTGACCAGAATTAGAAAGCTTAGCCGGTTTCATATCGCTTCGTTTCCTTCGTGATCACCTCAGAGTAAAGACAACACAAAAAAAAGGAAGGAAACAAAATTTGAGAGAAAACCGCACCTCATCTGCCAGGAGTTGATCACGTGAAAAAATTTAAAGTCTTCTTAACAGCAAGACCCCAAATCTGCCTCCTCCCCCCCACCCAAAAACACATGTTTTGCCCATCTGATGAGTTGCCATGAGCGATAAGATCTAGTCACGTCACACTAACCTTTCCAAAGCACAATCTATTCAGAGTTTTGAATAGCTAATGATAGATACAGTGTATTTATAGAACAAGACTGAGAAAAGCAACAAAGAAAACCATCGTTCCCCGTTCGTTTAAAAAAATGATCTGTTCTTGCAGATTTTTTTCCGTAATTTTTATTAAGCACACAAAGTCAAAGTGATAGTTTTGAAAACCGATCTTACACCAAAACAAACAAAAATGTTTCTTCCCTTTGCAACCTTAAAGAGTCAAGATATATACCAATGGAGTTCAGCATGAAGGCCTTATGTACAGCATTTTGTTAAAAGAGAAGTAAAATCAGAAAAAGAGGGGAAAGAAAGAAAAAGAGGTACTATTTTTGCAACCTATGATATACAGTGTTAGTCTACAAGATCGGAGTTACACAGATGGTCTCTTGTACATATAATGCACCTCCTTTTAAATATTCACTTATATATCAGCATAGATTATATTGATCGTTGATCTAGCGTTAACTAGGAAGAGTCTATTTTCAGAAGGTTATTTGAGAACCCATCATCTTGCTCCTGAGGATTCATACATCCAGTATTGTCTCTAATTCTACCCTGTCTCTAAAAAAATGAACTAAAATTAGAAAAGAAAGAGAAGACAAACTGAAACAGCGAGACCTGCGATCTCCACGGGTAGTACACTACATCTTTTGCTTGTGACAGAGGAAAGGGGAAAAAAACTGAGATGTTTCAGAAAAAACACAGCAGACATGAAACACCAAGAAGCTGAACTACATTTTTTTGTTCATTTTTCATTCTTTTTTTTTTCTTTGATCTGTTCCAATAAAATGTCTTAGGTTAGATTTTTAATCTGTTCATTTACAATATACAATGCTTAAGAATATTCAGAAAATACCCCATACTAATACTGACATATTTCTGATGAAGGCTGTGGATCGCTTGCTTTGATACTTGAGCCTCTCTGCTAAAAATGTCATTTGGAAGAAGATTACATCACGTGTATGATATCTCTGGCACTAAAAAAGACAAAAAAACAAAACAAAACAGGACCATCGTGAAACTAAATCTACGATGATTCTCCGTCTTCCCTAAGTGCTATTTCGCTTAAAGTTCAAATACTGCTTCAGTATGAAAGAACGCCAATAGAATTTCGAGGCTGAAGTTAATATATATGCATATATAATTGACTTGAGATAATGGTTATGGTCCTCCTGGCCACATCGTGTATGTAATGTATCATCTTATGACAAGCACAGACAGAAACGCGAAAGCTTCTGGAAATTCGTTTTCCCAAGTAAGTGTGGCACTGAGAAAAAAAAAAGCAAACAAAATTGCATACATATACACCTCCACTTTTTTTAAACATCTATTGCTTAGAGAAGATAGCAGGTTTTCATCTTCATGGTTCGTAAATCGCGCAACACGGTGGTCGGTAGAAAAACATAACGATCTATTATTAACATTATATGAAGAAACATTGTGTTTGTTGACCATACCATATATTTACATCCTTCAGTACAGTACAAATACACTTGAATAAAAGATAATAAAATAAAGTCAATAAATAAATGAGTCTGTTCCTTGACCACTGCGATTCATCTTTGCTCAGTATTGCATGAGAGACTAAAGCTTCGGCTATTCCCTGAAAAGATTGAAATGAAATCATTAAAAGAGGCTAGACGTGTTTGGAAGACTTGAAAGAAAAGGACAAGGGAGTGACACACACATGATCAATCCGCATGGCTACATAATGGTGAGGAGCAGCTTCTTCAAAATCTCCGTTTGGCTATCGCGTTGTCAAACTGCTCCGAGGACCTCTAATGTAATACTGCATATAGTCACTACTCTTATGGTAAAGAGGGTCGAATCCTTCAGCAACATGGAAGCTGGACGGTACAGTTTGGGGAAAGTTTCTCTTGCTGGTGTCCATTGGGTGGACCTCCTTCCTTTGGCAGGGCTGGTCTTTCTCGGCTCCAGTAATTCTCTTTTGAAAATCAACAAAATGTTTCAAAAGCACAAAAAAACTCAGCATCAGATTTTCGAGAAGAACAAGTCAACGGCTGGTTTCAAGTCCCACTGCTGAATAATGAGAGCAGTCATTTTTTTCCCACTTCATATTTTTCTCAATAATCACATTTTAAATCATTCTTATATTTACGTATCATTGTCAGTAATTAGAAGTACCATTACGGTTATGTTTTTAGTTATTATTTGATAAAGTTTATAGACAAAGGTTTCACGAACAGCGGCAGAGAGTTAGTCAGTGTCTGCCCGGTGAAGGGGCGGAGTCAGTGACGTACCCCCTCCAGCTCTCTGTGGGTATAACGCGGGCCGGGGGGGCGGAGTTAGACCTTGGCCTCCAGCAGCTCCAGAAACAGTTTGTGCATGGGCACTTTGCCGTCCTGTTTGATGCTGTAGAAGTGCTGCACTGCCTTGGTGGAGGTTTGCCGGAGCAGCGGTAGGGTCATGAGCAGCTTGCCGGCCCGGCGCGGGTCCTCCGCATGCTGGCCCGCCTCGTAGTCCTGCAGGGCCTCGTGCAACACGTCCTGGAGCTTCTGCACAGCTTCCACGTCCTCTATATGCATGGAATCTGGAAAAACAATTATTCAGCGGACAACGATGAGCTGCTAGAAATAACTTCAGGGAAACACAAATTCTGGTTTCGCATGTTCCTCCAGACCCAATCAAACAATGAATCACACATCATTTGATTTTTTTTTTTACTATGACATGACCAAAGGGGTTAAAGTTTTAGCAATATGTAAAGGTATAAGACATGTTAGTGTCTAGTGGTACAGTTTTCATTCATCATTAAAAACTATATATATATATATGTGGAAGTTGAATTCAAAATTCACTTGGCTCAAAAATTAAAGCAGGCCCCCTTTAGTTTAAACAGGTATGGCACTCCCGGTCGCTAGTCGTACGGGACTTTTCTTTTCTTCCTTTTTTTCTTTTTTTTAAATCCATTTCAGGCTGACGGAGACCTGAGGATGAAGTCCTGGCAAAAGGAAAGGGATTAAAAGAATGTGACTCATGGTTTTTTGCCAGCCCTAAGCTCATTCTCCAGTGATTAAAGACACACTTGAGTGTTAAACGCTGAGACTGTCCTCGGCACGTGTTTACAAGCCTCTCTATGGGACTGATGAATGGCACGGGCGACAGAAACAGTGTTTGGAGGAGAGCTGATATGGCACTTGTCTAAGCGAGAGAAACAGAGGCTCGAGTCAGGAAACAATACCTCAGCCTGACTGGCATTGTCTGCCAGAAATGTCAAACAGGCTGCATTTGCATTTGCACTCGTTAGTACAGCATTCACGCCCGTTCACCGCGACAGACGTGCCTCTGAGAACGCAATTAGTCTCAGCCAGCTACTATCTTTGCTGTGTTGTGCTCCAGTGGATAATATAGTTGCACTTTTCCAGCTAATCCAAGCATTGGATTCTACTACGCAGTGCTCTGATGGTTTTATCACATCACAATGGTAAAGAAAGTGCTTTGTCTGACTTGCTCTTTATAGACTGACTCCACCAACAGTATTGACTCGGTTTTCTACTGTGGCGTGTCAATCCGATCCCGTTGCCTCCGGATAAAATGTCCAAATGCACGCTGGCTTTTGGCAAAGATGTCACAATCAATGCATTGCCTCGAATCAATTGATACGTACACGTTAAATAATAATTGTATGGTCAAGTATTGATAAAAGTGAGACCCTGTGAGGTTCCTCTATTAGTAGAGAGCACCATCTGTCCTTTGGGCTGGCCAGCGGGACAAACGTCAGCCTGCTTCAGGCTGCGATTCGATATCCTAACCCTTCAGTGTCTGGAGCCCATCTAGAATTCAGACAGCGAGGTCTCGTCCATCAGTCACATGGGCTTTGGCCATCTGAAAAGTGACCTGTGATCCGACAGAAATCCCTGGCAGGAAAGTGCTTACCTGCACCTTTGCACACAAGCTGCCCTATCAATCTCACCATCACTGCTGGAGGCGGCGGAAAAACTCACTTTTTTTTTTGCACACTATTTGTGCCTTAAAATTTACTATCAAAAAGACACTTCGCTAGACTCAAATTTGTCAGGATATCCTAGAATGACACTGGAATGGCTGAATTGGTTGAAGATATAAAGAGGTCATGGACTGCTTTACTGATCCATTTACTTGCATGTTACAAAAGAAACCATAATGAGATAAACTGCAACGTGAAGCTTTCAAATAAATAGGAAAAAATGTCACTCTGACATCGATTGCTTAAGCAATACTGAGTCTATTGAAAGACTGTGAAATACATTGGATCTGAGTGGAAATACCCAGCACCTCAGGGCTTTAGAAAATGGTGGAGTGTATCATTTTTTTTTTGCAGCTGTCTGAAACACTCTGCTCTCCACCAAAAAAAGAAGTGACAAAATGGCTCACCTTTGAAATCGGACATGATGCATGCCTCTCCTGAGAGAAGAGTGCAGAGAAAAGCCGCAGAGAGAAAGTCTCGATAAATACAGAGAATGACACCCGAGAACGAGAGGGAAAAAACAGATCCAGGGCTAGCGTTAGTCTAAGCATCAGGCTACAGGAAGTCTCATTGTGTATGCCTCAGATAAAAAAAGGCGTAAACGTGGACAGAAGACGACATCAGTTTTAATAAATCTACCACTCATCGATCACTTTTACCTGTTTTTGGCAGGTTGACACGCACGTCAACAAAGCGAGATGAACTGCTAATCGTCGAATCAATTAAAAATGAATTTCTCAAAAGAGTCACGTGCTCTCTCGCTCTCTCAGGGGTGCACTTTAGGCAGAACGGCCCCCGGTGTCTGCAGGCCGGGGCCAAACTCGCGAGCCGTCACCCGCAAGCGAGCAAGAGCAATCTGCTTTTTCATTTTTCAGCATGGCCAGGCCCAGCCGGAGATTGATCGTCACATATGGCCCCAGAAAACAAACTGTCAATACCTTGAGCGCTGGAGAATTTGAACAAATAGCCGCCCTCCCATTCAAGCTGCTCATTGCGTCCCATTTAACAGATTTTATTGACAGTTTCCTTCTTGTAATTAAAGGGAAAACTACTGGCCAGCAACCAAGATAAAGTTCAAAGATGGGGTCAACACAAAGGGAGCCAGAGGGCCATGGCGTGACTGTCGATGGCGGACAACATCAGAGCCTGTTATTGACATGGAGGTGCATAGTGATGGGCTCCTTACTTAAGAGGCATCTGAGCAGAGACTTATGCTAATTCGGAGAGGGGCCGCAGCCGTGCTTTTGAAGGATTTCAAACGGGGCGGGGAGGGGAGGGGTGGGAACACTGTTTAGTGTGGCGTTGTGTGAACTGAAGAAAAGAAAACATGAGAGAAAGAAAGACCGAGATATTAAGATATATCTTGAACTGTACCTGAACAACTCTACCGCTACATCTGTCTTTAACATTCCAAAACAGTGAGTTTAACTCTTTCTAAGCTAATAAAATATCAACAGCCAATCCTATTAAGAGGATGAAAAAATAAACTGATGACAGGAAATTCAAGAGGCCTCAAGTGCAATTCTAAGCTAACAGCTAAGCTAAGCTAAAGTTAAACACAACATCCCGTTTCATTTGCAATAGGATTGCTGTGAATTATTTTGTTTAATAATTTTGTTTAGGAAACAAAAAGACACCTTGAACAATGTAAATTATAATAGAATGTAGATTAAGTTGATGTAAATAAAAACAAACAAAGTAATGACGGCTAGAAGTGGGTTAATGACATGTAAGAATGTCCATGATAAATAGTAAACAATTACTCTTTATTAATCTTGGTTTCATATGTTTTTGGAAAACTTTTTGCCATTTGTAAAAAAATGTAATGACTCATTGTCATGTATGATTGTAATAATGAATCATTGTATAAATTGCATTTATAATTTATTCTTGAATACCTTCATGGTTGCACTTTATTTTAAAGTATGTGTACATGCGTGTACTTACAGTGTACTTACCTAAGAAAGTGGGTTAAGGTTAGGTTTAGGGGTAGGTTCAGGGTTAGTACCTACTTATTACCCAGTCATTGTAATTACGATAATAAGTACAGTATGTACATGGGGTGAATATGTATTATAATATAATATGTAAAATAAATTGCTACCATTTTCATAAATCCTGACAAATATTGAGTTTCATGCCATTGACCCAATTTAAAAAATAAATAAAAATTCTTTGAAAAAAAATATTTTGATCGCCTGAACGTTTTATAACCAAATGTGGCGCCTGCTCTGACTTAAATCTATAACATTTTACCTGAGTTAGCCAGGGCTATAGCTTTAAGAGTGACGAACTCCTCCTTCTCCAGCTTCATGCTCTTGTATTTCTTCACCAGCTGAAGAATGGCGTTATTCAGGTCGAGCAGGCCGGCCAGCTTGGACTGATCCTCATCCATGATGTAGTCTTCAGCGTAGACCAGCTTGTCCTCAAAAGACAGAGAGCGGTAGACTACACGCAGGATCAGGATCTCCATCCATGCGCTCTGCAGAAGACTCATCTGGTCCGCCAGCGAGAGTGTGGAAAACCCTGGGAAAAGCGAGAGAAAGAGCTTTGTTTAACCCAACGATGAACGCTCAGCTTCAAATCAACATTCAACGCGCTATACGATATTAAAGCTCAGTTCATTGTCAGAAGTTTCTGATTGTGTTAGTGGGAAGCATTGACATTCTAGAGGTGTATTACAGAGGAAAACTCCAGTGGGAGTGAGCTGAGGCACCTAGCACGAGCCTTGGCTCTCATCTCCTGCTGCGCTGCAGGCCAGGGGGCATCCTGAGGGAGGGCACTCCTTATCTCCCCCAACATGCAGCATGGATCAATTCTTCCCATCACACCAACTGAAAGACTAATTGCTTGCCTCAAACTCCTTCTCCTTCCTCCTCCCCCTACTCTGCACACACTTTTTTTCAGTTTTCGCGTCTTTTTGCTGGAAGTGAAGGAAGTCGTGGAGTTCATGTTCATGAATGCCATTTGAAACTGACGATCACATGGCTTTTGTCTGTCCATGAGACGAGGAGTTTAACCCTCGTGTTCATGTTGGGGTCTGAGAAACATACTTAATATTGAGGTACCATGTGATTCCTAAAGATGTTTCTTAATACTATTATGCCTCAACTATGAGAAGATACATAAATGCAATGACTTTCATATGCTAAGATTGATGCACACACTATTCAGGGACCTCAAATTGAGTGTTAAAGTTTCAATAATTTCTGTCAACTGACATTTTACTGGGTCAGATGAACGTTTTAAGTGAAGGGAAATAAGAGGTTAATTTCAAAATCCCCCCAACTATTATTGAAATAATCATAATAAAATACTTATTATGTCAATAGAACACAATAGAGCTAAAATAAAGGATAAAAAAGTGCAAGTACTCTTTTCGAAACCAAGGCAGACAAAAAGAAGCTTGTAAAGGGCAGGTAATCTTAATAAACTGCATAAGTGCTTGAGAGCCATCCTTCAGCTCTGAAGGAGAGGGACAGGCAAAACAGCACCTGTTGGAGTTGGACCTTTTCGTCTCATCTCACTCGTTCTGCTCTTCCAAGAACAGATGAAGCGTCTCTCTTTGCGACAGCAAGGGGGCTAATCTGGATGGCGGGGGAACGGGAGGAAAGAGATGCTCACCAACATCTGTTGTGGAGAGATGCCTTCAGAGAAAGCAGGCAATTTCGTTCATTTTTTTTCTTCTTCTCTTTTTTGAAATCTCTTTCTGTGAGTTAATCGCTAATGGCATGGAGCTCATTAGGTATAGGTTTCAGGCTATTGTTTATACCAACCGCTAATTTATTATCCCAAACTGTTAACATCTCTGATCTCATTAGAGGCAGACTAAGAGCTGGTGAGCAGTTGGTGCCTCCCCTGGCCTGCTGGTGCTAGTGTGCTCAATGCCAGTTGGCAGGGCCATCTTCTACTACTTAATAAAATCATCAAAAGGGATTAAGCCAAGAATTTCTTAAGGGGGTCACTAATGCAAGACTGCTGCATTCTTATGAAGACATTGGCCTCAATGAAAGGTGGCATTGGCTAAAAATAAGATCACACTCTCTCGGCCTCCTTAGAGGCACATGCAAGATTGCTGATCATTTGGGGAAAAAAAATCCACTCATTCTAAATAAAAATAATAAATCATAAGCATAATTTTGACTATAAATGATATTGTATTGATTGATTGGATATATAAAAACATTTCATGTTTAATATTTTCTCCATTACGAGATTCCTTTATTAAAAATACATGAACGCTGTGGCGCTGTCGCTCTGACCAGCCTGACTGGTCAGAGCTTAGCCAATGGTGTGAGTTTAGGGTCTGTTTGTCCAACCAATGGAAGACATGAATATCAAAGTGTTTTTTTGCACGATTGGTGACACCACTAGAACAGAAACATTTAAAGGGGTTATCATTGGTAGATATGATCATGAAAAGAAACAAATCGTACAGGAGTCAAATGAATGATGGAAGACTGAAGGCACTATTTATCAAGACAGACCGAGAGATGCAGAGGGACAAAGAGAATGAGAGTACGAGGGACAAACAGAGAGACAAAATAAAGGCAGGGGCGGGTGAGGAGGGGGTTGTGGAGTGGCAGATGGACGGAGCCCATCGCCTTGAGCTCCCCCTGTGCCACTCCCAGCCCTCCCTCTCAGCCACTGCTGTTAGTAAATAATTAGATTTACACATTCCCCAATCTCCACACATCTCTCCGCAGAATAATTAAAAGCCGGATGATTAGTTTATTGAGTGGAAGGAAGAACTTTTTTTCCCTCTTTATTGAGGTCCATCAATGATTTTATCAGGGGCTCGCGCTTTTACGGTTGTCATGCCAGTGCAGGCATCCAATTTTTCTTATCTCCCTGATTAATACAAATGCTGTTTCAGGACGCATTAATTAACAGATACAAATCTACGTTCTCATGGCCGGATCGATAGAGAGAAGAAAAGAGCCATCAATGTGAATTTACTGCTGATGATGGAAAAGGTTCTCTATTGACATTTATGCGAGGGCAAACTTTAAAGATGCATTTTTTCCCTTCTTTTCATCTGTTATTTCATTTCACAAAAGAGCTCAGTGGCGACTGTGATTACGGTTCACCTTTGGATGCTTTGCTGCGTGAGAAAGGATCCAAAGAGCCGAATTAAAGCGCGTCACTGTCATTTCAGCTGTGGTAAATGTGTACAACTCTTTTCCCAAAGGACTTCCTGTAACAAGAGGAAGTTTATTGACTCAGTGCAGGCATGACACTAGACAAGGCATGACTGTCTACACACACACACACACACACACACACACACACACACACACACACACACACACACACACACATACACATACACTCACATACATACACACACACACACACACACACACACACACACAAATATATATATATACAGTATATATATATATATATATATATATATATGAAAATAATGTTTAATTTTTAAACATTTATTCTGATACTTAATAATTTGCCTCGTTTCTCTGTGCTGGAAAAATAAAGCCATGTAACTCTGGATAACAGTCTCTTTTATTTGGCAGACACAAAGCAGACTGCCCCATCCTGATGACACACAGGCATTATCTGATCCAGCGTTCAATCTCCAGTAAGGTCCTCTCAATTTAACTCTCTTAGCCCGGAGACCAGCTTCAGAGCTCAGACTCCCTCTCTCTCCAACAGGACTGAAGGGGCTTTGCTACTGGCACAATCTCTCTTCTTCTCTCTATCTCTCTCTTTTCTCTCAGTAAACTGATGGACTTTGTGCTAGACGGGGAGGAAAGGCTAAGTATGTGGATCTGTGAAGGTTACACCAGTAGAAGGTATCTGATGGCTGAGGCCTTGTGAAACCTGCAGTGGCTTTTCAGAAGAAATAAGCATTGGAGCAGCGTGTAGCACAGGCTGACAGAAAGAGGCTGCGGTGCAGCCATGCGAAGTTAACCCCTGCCGGGCAGGACTGCTCACCACCAGGCCTCACAGCAACCACCGGCCGTCCGTCTGCCAAATCTTTTCTGACTGCACGTTTACACACTGAGAGAGCCCGCTGAGACAAACACACACACATACGCAGTGGTTCCTTCTCCTCGTCTTCCTCAAGGCAGACTTCACCTCAGCAACGCTGTTTAGCCATCATATAAACACAAGTGCGCTCGGCTCCTCCGTCTCACTTTAAGCAACACCCTTGCTTTTTTTCTCATGGTTTCAGGGTAAATGAACACGCTTGAGCAATGAGAATCAGTTCTATTCTGCGTGCAGACTGCACTGGATGTTTATTTGACGTATCCTGGTTCCCTCCTGAGCTCTTGTGTGAATATACACTCCATTTGCTTTCGCACTTTGTCAAGACCATGATGACACAGTGACTAATCTACTTGTAAAAATAGTGCTGGGGAGACCGAAGGTGAGACTTAGTAATATTAGTAGTCTAAGTTGTCATATCGCCTTAAGAGATAAAACAACAACAACAACAAACTTACAATCTATAGTAGACGTATTAACATCTTACAATTCTTCTCACAATATCCGGAAAACAGCACAATTGTGAGAGCAATTTTGCTTTTATACTGCAGTTCAGTAATAAACAATAAGTTAATATTGATTAACTTACATTTCATATAATATTACCAGTTACATTGTGTAGTTTTTTTTTCCACCAACGGAAAAAGTTCCAAAATAATCCACAGCAGAACCAGAGCAACACATAATAGTGAGCTTTGTTTCTTTCCTGAATCAATCACTGTTTCTGAATGAATCGTTTGAGAAAATTATTCCACGACTGGCTCATTAAGACTTGTTTCGTTCCTGAATGAATCAGTGCTTTTGAACAAATCGACTGAATGAATGATTCAATGACTCACTCATTCAAAAGACATTTTGCTACCTACTGGCATACCAATGCATACAGTATTTGTGATAATAAATATAACATGAAACTGCTTAATTTCTTCTTTATTATTTAATTTGATAGTATATCATATATTTTTAACCACCTCCCCCTCCCATTTCTTTTCACCTCTGTACTATTGTGTATTTGAGTCACAAAAACAGATCCTTTGTAGCATCAATCTCCAAACAAGCCATGAAAGGGATGTTTCCTTGGAATACATTCAGCTGATTGGTGATTACTCTAAGCTTACAGATAAGCCTGTGGTGAGGCTAATGATGCCAAAGTCCATGGTGAGACAGGAACAACCACCATGCCAGTCTCTGTCTGTCCATTTACTGCCCCAGCGAGGCGCTCAGACGCGACTCCCTCACCAGCTAAACCAGCTTTCTGCAAAACTCTTGCACCAGAACAACTCCCACCAAAAGACATGGCAAATATTAGCCCACAGAAGTCTTGCACAAATCAAAAACAACATGAAAAGGCAAACAAGAGTGTTCTGTGTGTGTGTAAACAGTCGGGTCTTTAGTCTCCCTTCCAACCTCAGCAAGGAGGGGGGACACAGGGGAAGTGATGACAGGAGCCGCATACACACAAACCGCCGCAGCGCTCCTCTTTGCTTTTATCACCGGTCGCCTTTCATCTCCAC